TTTCACCTATTTGTCCTGTATATGCAAAGCAAGAGGGGATAAAACAAATTATGTCAGTTGAAAACATTTCTTTTAAAGAAGCCAAATAATCCATTATATGCGAAGGTGGCTACGAATAACGGTTTGTCTATTTTAAACAACGATAACAATTTTCCAACTTTACCAAATACTTCTGGCGACAGTCCATCGTCTAATATTACTTTTAAAAAACCAAAACCAGCTTCTAAAGCCAATACTAATAAAACAATTAAACTAACACACCTAACCTCTCCTATACCAGATACGATGTCTTTAAAAAAAACTTATAAACCTAGTCAAAAACCTAAACCCATTATACCTAACCCATACAGAGAAGAATTTATGGACTATAAAGAGAAAACTATAATGTTAATTACCTCCTTCATAAATAAATTCCAAAAACATTTTCAATTAGCACCAAATACTCTCATGGAATCTAATATCAGGGACTTTGTAGAAAGTGCCTTTGTTCAAGTGATCCAAATGATGCTATGGAAACATATAGTGAATCAGATTCAAGTGAAAAACTCTTTTACTGATTAAACTTTAAAAATGTCTAATAAACAAACAATTAAAAACCAATTAGTAATTTTGCAGTGGAATAGTAGATCAATCACATCTAATAAAAATAATTTGTTAAATTACCTTAATAAAAACCATGTTGATATTATCATACTTTCCGAAACTTGGCGTAAGTCCAATAGTAATTTTAATATAAAGGGATATAATTTCATTAAAAGATGTCGTGATGACGGATATGGCGGAGTTGGTATATTTATCTTACAAACAATTAACTATCAAGAAAGTGTAATAACCCAAAATTTTTCAAGGGGCATTGAAGTAGGTATGTGCAGTATTTATTCCAGATATAAATATTTCTTTGTGGCAACACGGTAACCAAAACGTAAACAAATATATTATTTGTCGTCTGCAATAAACTCAATTTCTGAGAGTTGTAACGGGAAATAAATTATTGAAAATATCCATATAAGACCATATAAGACATTAAGTGAAGGAGAGTGCTAAGAAAAAAAACTTTAAAATCGGTGAAATAACATACGAAAACACCAAGGCCCTATAAAAAGTAAGATCGCTGTAATTGATAAGCCTAATTAACATCAAAGTATAGAAACGAAAGTATGACCTTTGAAATTGCGACGTTGCCGTTGTGAGTAGACTTTCGGGGTAGACACAGAAAAATAACAACGGTTAATAAACATCAAATAAATACGGTAAATGCTGTCTTCTCTGAACTGTTGAGGTGGAAGACAGTATTTGGCGCGGAAAATGAAAAAATATATGAAAAATTTAGGCAGTGATGATACACTTTCAGAAGGAGGGGCAAAAAGGAAGGAGAGATATAAAGGCAGCGAGGAAGAAGATAACATTTTCAGAAAGAGCAAGAAGTTCTCGAGAACGCCAACAAAAACTCCAGAGAAAAAAATGAGGCATTAAAAATTGATCAATTACTAATATTGATGAGCCACCTCACCGATAATATTTAGAAAATAAAAAGAATGCAGAGAAACGATAGAAAACCTCATAATGGAAAACAGAGAGCTGGAAAACAGAAAAAAAACCATTTAAATATCCAAAATTACCCTCATCATATCGAGCTATATCGTTAATGTCTTGTCTGACCAAGACTTTTGAACGCATGATTAAGTTTTGCCTAGAATATTTAATTGAAAGCAATTCTCTCCTACTCACTACACAGTATTGATTTCGGAGAGGCCGTAGTACTATAGATGCAGTGATGATATATTTTTTGCTACATGCGTGATTGGTTACATACTATGGGTTTTAATGTTTCACGGCAAAAGACAGCGGTTATGTGTCTTACTAGGCACAGACTTAAAACAGCTGATTTGCTGTGGACCAGCTACATAAAACACGTAAAGCAAAAATGTGAGAAAGAGCTCAACATTCTGCGTGTAGTTTCGAAATATAAGTGGGGTGCAGATGTTAAAATATCCCCTACTTTTTATTTATAAGTCATACATCCGCTCAATAATGGATTATGGATGTACTATTTATGCCTCAACTAGCAAATCAAACTTATTAATCTTAGACAGAATTCAATATAAGGCAATTAAAATAAGTCTATGAATTATGATGTCATCACCGAATTGTGCAGTTCTGGCTGAAGCACAAGAATCGCCTTTGTGCCTTCGAAGAGAGTACTTAGCTAATAAACAGCTAATAAAATATAGGACGTTTAGTACATTTATGGTCAAAAAAATATCAAATATAGCGGTCCAGAATCTTACAAACAAATATTGGAGAATTAAAACGTCTCCTCCGAAATCGATTTTGTAGCCTTAGATTTAAACCAACCATTATAATTCCAAACTATCCAGATAATATATTTATATCAAAATTAATTTTCAAATCTATACTCTGTAATTTATTAGAGAATAAAATCATCATCTATACGGATGGATAAAAAAAAGATTTAAAATAGGCTGTGCATTTTTAGTTTCTAATATTAACCATGTTGAGCAATATCAAGTCCCTCATTATTTTTCGATTTTTAGTGCAGAAGCTATAGCTATTAGGAAAGCTTTAGATTGGTGCGAGATGAACTTACCATTATATGTGGTAATTGGTCACAATACCGCCAGAAAAACCATTGCATGATAACTTTAATCAATTTAATAACGAAGCAGACCATATTGGTGGTATAACACTTAATAGCATACCGGAGAGTACAACAACTGAGCAAATATATGACATAGTATCAACAGAACCAAACCCAAGTGATGGGCCAGATGGTTGCTCCGAAGCTGAATTAGACAAAATCTTAATCTCTTAAATGAAGCTCTAAATTACTAGTTTTCAAAGGATATAATAAAATAAAGACGCGTAAACGTAAGAAGAATTACAAAACGACAAAAATATAAGTCGACAGTTAGAAAAGAAAAACGAGCAGGTGGTGAACAGTATACATCGAAAAAGAATAAGCTAGTAAAACCACGGGTACTAGGTCCAACGTGCAAAGAAACTTGCAAATTGAAATGTAGTGAGAAGTTTTCACGAGAAATTCATCATCACAATATTTTAAAACAGTTTTGGTCAGCTCAAATTGATATTAATCAAAAACTGTTACAGAAACAAAACTTTACGATATTCACTCGCCAAAGACCAGACGTATGTAGTCGTTTGTAAATTATTTTACTTGAATACAATAAACATTTCGCAGACCTTCGTTAGAACCGCTTTATCAAAGAAAGGAACTAATGGTGTGGTATCTGAAGATAGAAGAGGAAAAAAGGTTCCGCCCAACAAAATCAACGAAGAAGTGAGGCGTAGTATAAGAGAAGACATTTTATAATTTCCTGTTGAACAGTCGCATTACCGGAGTGAAAATACCAATAAAAATTATCTATGGTCACATTTGAATATTTCCGAAATGTATGAACTTAATAAGCAACAATGTGAGGAACAAAATATTTCATTGGAAAATATAGCCAAGCCATCGTTTTATAATGAAATATTTAATAAATAGTTTAGCTATTTCTTTAAATCGCCGATTAATGACATATGACATCTAAAAAAAATGATAAGGACAGGTATTCCACAATTCCTAGCCTAAAAGTTATAATGGTTGATCTTGAAAAGTGCCAGCCCATTTCTGTCTTAAAAAATACACGGAGTTTCTATAGTCTAAAACTGTTAACATTTAACTACACCATCCACGATGCAAACAAACAAACAAAAATGTATATTGCTGTATGTGGGACGAGTCAATCGCTGGAAGGGGAGTCAACGAGATGGCCTACTGCTTGTTGAAATGGATATTGTTCTCAAACATATCACCTACTACATATTTAAAATTTCATAATTTGGTCCGATAAGTGCCCATCGCAAAATAAAAACCTCGGTATGGTTATGTGGTACCTTTATATCCTCCATATTTGTCACAATCTTAAAAGTATAAGTCATAAATTTTTATTGTACATACACATCTAGAGGTGGATTCGTATCATGCACGAATAGAAAGCGAATCCAAAAACCAGCCTCATTTCTTTTACATGCATAGGTATTCTGGATATGCCTGTAATCTGATCTATTCATCTTGTTGGAGACCTTCCTCGTGATCTTCGGCCTTCTACCTTTCCTTGAATAATAAGTCGTTACATTGTTGGAGATGGACTTTGCTGGATAGCCGTGTGCTGACTTTTAGCTCATTGAAAAATGAAATATTTGTTTTGTGGTCGGTCCACAGAATTCGTAACATTCTTCTACAACACAACATTTCAGTGGCGTCTATCTTTTCTTTTTGCGCTTATCGTATACTCCAAGATTCACATCCGTATGTAAGTATTGAGAATATTAAGCAGTTAATCAACCTCATGTTCGTGAAATTTAAGAGTCCTTTCATATTTTGGCCATCCTTCCTATGAAACATTTTGCTAGATAACATCTTCGTTTTATTTCTTTCTGTAGTGACCGTGTGTTTATAAACAATGAACCCAGGTATAAATATGAGCTCACAACTCAGACCGGCCAATCTTGGTTATGTGTGGATGATTATTATGTAGTCTGTATCATACAGACTGTATGCTGCAGAGCAACAGATATTACCACTATAATCAAGCGAAACCGTCTACGGTAGACAGTACATAGGACGGGTCCCGGAATGATAAAAAATATTCTAATAGCGCAACCGGTTGGAATGTAAAGACGGGGTAGACCAAAGCTGAGATGGATAGACGGAGTAATGCAGGATGCTGAGATCAGTGGTGTTAACTGGAAAATCCAAGTAAGTGGCAGAGCAGAATGACGCAGAAAGTTTGAGAAAATTGAGGCCCCTTTAGGGCTGTAGCACCTTGATGATAATGATTTTTGTTTCTAATCTGGCTTTGCTCAGATGAAATGTAATTAAAATATTAATCCATATTTTATTAGGTCCATATTTGTTTTAGAAATAATATTTTTTATCTGAAAATTAAAGCTAAAAGAATTATTTTAATTTTCAGAGACCCTGATGGAAACGTCGGTGGTGAATTGTTGCTTGGTGGATCAGACCCAAACTATTACAAAGGGGACTTTACTTATGTAGATGTTTCAGCTAAGGGCTATTGGCAAATTGTTATGGACAGTCTCAATGTTGGATCTTCCTTAAAACTCTGTTCAAATGCATGTCAAGTTATCGTAGATACCGGTACCAGTTTGATCGCGGGACCTAGCGCCGAAGTCGAAAAGTTACATCAAGTATGTTTATTTATAAATATATTTATTTAACTATAAGATATTTATTTTAAGGTAGAATCAGTTTTTCAATGCCGGTGTTGTAGTGTTCTACAGTCACTTGATCTTTGAATTCTTCGTCGTTTCCATTCTCCTTTTTACTTAAGAATTCGAAAAAATAATAATCGGAAAGCATGAGGCCCAGACTATAGAAAGGATGCATGCTCGAAAATTTCCCATTGTAGGTATTTAAGTTCTTGCCGATGACTGGGACCGAGCATTGTCGTGAATCAGAAACACCTTCATCTACAACATTCGAGTCGTTTCTGTATTGCACGTATTAATCTTTTAAGGGTTAAGTTTCTAAATTTATTGTTTCATCCCTAGACATAAATTCTACGTGGATTAAACCCTTAAGGTTCCAAAAACAGTTCCCATCAGTTTTCTTGTGCTTAGATTCGGATTTTCTTTTTTGGATTTTGAGGGCGAGTTTGTAATATGCCACTTCCTGTATTGCTGCTTTGTTTCAGGAGGTTTTTTTTTTAAAACTCTAATGTTTATCTCCCATTTCAATGCAATCGAAAACTTTATCACCATCAATGTCATATCGGGTTAAAAAATCAAGGGCTGCTTACATTCGTTTTGTCTTATCTTTTGTCTGTCAGAACCTTAGGTATCAACCGAGCGCACATTTTTTATGGCCAAAGTACTTAGTTATTATTTATTTTAAGGGAGATCGAACAATAATTAAAGGAAAAAAGTCATGCAATGTGTTTTAAGTTCTGAATTTTGTCATCAACTACTCCGTCACAAGCCGTTATTTGCCTATTAATGTTCATAGGGCGAACATTGTGCGCATTGAAAAATCGAATACCTTTGGCAGTAGTTTCAACAAGTGCAGTCATATTTCAAAATTTTATAGAACCAAAAAGACATAAACAACGCAGTCAATGAAAAAATAGTCAAAGAATTTAGTGAAGTAAATTAATTAAATTATGTCAGTATTTTAGCAAAGTAACTTGGGCAGATTTAGATAGTTATTCATGTAATGATTTCTGTAATAAATATTGTCTTGTCCCATGATTAGTTTACCATAAGATATATTTGCTATGAAATATTATTTTATTAAATTAAAATAATATACGACGACAATGTTTATAGAGCTATTTATTGCTTACTATACATGTTTGCAGAACTGAATTTTGTTCGATACTACTAAAAATACATTAAAACATGCTTAACAGAGACCCCTAGTAGAGAAGAGTGAGTTACTGGGAATTATATAATTTTACCTCTGTTTAAAAACGTAAATTACAAAGTCATTCATATTGTCCTTATCAAAACCATCTACGGACGCAGCAGATGCGACAACAATAGGCGACGGATTTGACGGGTAAATACATTCCAAAGGGAGGGATTATAATGGACAAATTTTTCCCATAAATATGTAAAACTAATAAATATTTTAATCTTTTAATAGATTTCTGGAAACTAAAATTTACCCAAAACTTTAAAAATTATAACTATTAATCTAAATAAAAAAATCGACAAATAATATGAAATAAATTATAATGAGACCGAACAAATATAACGAAATTAAATATAGAGGAATAGATACACGTTCTTTAATTTTCACCTTTAGGACTAATCCCAGAAGCCCTTGGATTGTTAATCGACTGATCGAAATGAGTAAAGAAAAAATCATTATATAGAAAAGGGTAAGGAAAAATCCACCTGAGGAAAATATACGTATTCATCGACAATTTACGACAATTCAATATGCTGACATTAAGAGCTAAGATCGTCAAGAAGTAACTATGAAAACAAAGTTAGTTGAACAAAGTTAGGTCTGAAACGTTTTACAAATACGTGAGATCAAATTTCTATACAAAAACTGGTATACCGTAATTAGAACAATCTAATGGTGAAATATGTTTAAAACAAGAGCTTTGTGAATTATGTGCGGAAACATTTTCCAGTGCATTTACAGTTGAAACGAATACTATGTTTTCAGATGCGCCTCTTACTGATAGAATAATGGAAAGTTTATCAACAATTAATATATCTACTGAATTGGTTAAAGAGGTATGAAGTTCTTTAAAGACTACTGCCTCTCCTGGATCAGAAAATATTTCACCATTATTATATCATAATTGTGCAGATAGTTTAGCGGCTCCAATGACATCTTTACTGGTCAAATCCTTGCAAACCAATTCAATCCCAACTTCATGGAAATCTGATATAGTAACACCGATATATAAAAGTGGAATTAAACTCCTTTCGACCAATTAGTGACCGGCTCCATCAACATCAGTTAAAATAATGGAAAAATTAATAACTAATAAATTAATATCTTTCCGGTTAGAGCAGTTTTCCAGTCTCTCAACACGGATTTCTGTCGAATCTTTCTGTAACTAGCAACCTGTTTCTCGCTCTTAATGAATGGACTTTGTCTTTAGACCGATTTTAGCCTATTGATATTATTTATATAGATTTTCCCGTAAATTTAATAAGGTATAATCCGACAAGCAAGAGCTGGTGGGTTGCACGTAGAACAAATTGAAAAGTGAAAGGGATTGCTCATTTCATTGGGAGTTCACATCTTGTATTTAGTGCTAGATTTCTGACAATGTTGTCAAGTATTTACATACATTTTTTTTGGAGTGGCCCTATATTATAAACTATTGTTTATATTTATTTAAATGGCAAGTGTATTAAAAAGCAAACCTTTGGGATTTCCAGCACGAGAAATAATTTTCAATGTTTTTAAGTTTACAACCGAAGGAGCTAATGAAGATAAAGTCTTAGTTGATTTAAAAAAGATACAAGAACGTGTAGCTTAATTAATTGTACTGGAACAATAATACTCATTTTCAAAATAAATTTAGATTTAAATAATTTAATTTAAGTTACAATCAATAAAATAATAATCAATAAATAAATAAAAACTTACAGAACAAAAAAATACCAGTAAATAATAAGTAAATAGTGGATCAGTTAATTAGTACTTTACAGTTCACTATTATTGATAATACAACGTATATCTGTAGCGACAAGCTAATTATTTCAAAAATTAAATAACAGTTCTTCATGTTAAAATTTACATTAACGCAATTGGTTATACACATGTGAAATAGAAATGACATAAAAATTGAAATGTGTTTCTCCAATAGGTTTATTTACTACAGATGTGCTGGACACTTTAATTATACATTTGAATATGTTGCATTTTTCATAAATGGAAAACGAAATATGATATTGTAAGCAATAACATCACAAAATAAAAGGCCAATAATACGTGAGTTTCCGTCTGGCTTAGAAAAATAAACAAAGAACGTGTGTTCTGTGTTGTGTTCAGTTTAGTAATTATTAAGACACACAAAAATACCTTCCCTTCGAGAATTAATTACCTTTTATGAAAATAAATATTATTAACAAATTTTTTCTACGTTTTATTCAATATTATTATTTTTTTTTATTTTGTTTTCGTAGTCAATAAGTTTATCACACACGCATCCACAAAACCACAGAACATATCTATTAACGTAATTTTCAGATCCCAACTAAAGTTTTGATACGGCAACTATCATTTTCATACGGCATTTGTGACACTCGCGATTAAGTACCTCTCCTATCTCTCTTAGAATAATTCCTTTTCTATTTTGCGCAGCTCACCCGCCAGCTCTCGCTTGTCGGATAATTCCTTTAAAAAACTTCATGCTGAAGCTAGAACATTACGACATGCGTGGCAAGTTGTTATTGTGGTTAGAAAACGTACCGGCCTGGTACGTTCACCAAAAATATCAACTTGTATATATTTTACGTGATCTGTCAGTATCGATGGCCAATGACAAATTTAACTAAGGCTATTAATATTTAAGAATTTTATATTATTAGATTTTAGACAATACTTACTAATAACTATAATACCTATAACACTAGTAATGAACCTTAATACAATTTTTTATTTGTCAGTATAATGATGAATGAAACTAAAAAAATTTGGAAATTTTTATTTATTTATATTAATGTCAATTCAAGTTTTTTGAAATTGATTGTTCAAGGATTCGTAAGAAGTAATGCTACTGAGCACAATTTGGCGATGTCAAACAAAAGAGGCGGCACGGTACGGTAAAAATTTGAACTAGTGCACGTAGGATAACCAAATATTTTGTATTTAGTTACACACATAACATAGTTATAAACATTTTAAATATTATGAAATAAAGCACAATAAGGTAAAAAAATGTTATAAAGTAAATGTAAACAGTATTGTTCTGCACGGCAATGCAGTAATTATCGATCGGAAGGAATAACTATGCACTTATTTCCTTGTGACACAAATGTACAAGATCGTTGGGAACAGGAATTAAAAATTGGGAAATCGATATCAAGTGTTCACAATATGTTTTTTTTTTCAAGTAAATTTGCTGAACACAATTGCAACATTTATTATATATAATGTGCCTACCTAAACTAATCAAATATATACACTAACATAGATCTTAATTAAAATTTCTACTACACCTGCAGCAGGGCAAAAGAAACTTTCAAAGAAACGTGTTATTCCATCTCAATTCCTTTTTAAAGGAAAACACGAAAGAAAATCAATGAGGAACTGGTGAATGCTAGACTAATGCGTAATAAAACACACGCACATTCCTCCCTGGCGGGCTTTACAAGTGCATTTTACCACCCACTCGTCTCTTAACACATCCACAGTGATTTTATGTGGGGTACCATTTAAATTAGTCGTTTGCAGACACAAACCGACTAATTTGTTATTATAATTGCCATACAACACAACGTGGCCAGCCTTTAACAAGGCTTTGCCTTCTTTTGAAGGTCTTTTTGTGTCTCCTATATATTTCAAAATATGGAGCAGACTCACTTCAATTTCTTTATTTGCCATTGCGTTAACAAAAAAATAAATGGAAGATAATAAATTCGGATAATTTTTAGACACAACAATCATTCACCTACAAAGACTATGGTAGCTCTGTTTTGTTTTCCTACGTGCGTGATCAGCTGATCATCTGTCAAAGCGCCCACTATAGTTTGTTGACATCGCCAATATTGTTTTATTCCTTTTTAGGCATTTCAAAGCAATATTTATCTAGGACTATAATATTTTTCTAGGCATTTTTTATTAGAGTATTTTTTGGAATAGTATGATTATTTTTTGAATGAATGTTTTGTTATCATAAAATTCCATAAATGTATATTTTTCGTCATCTCTACATTTTTTCATAGAAATAAAAACAAAAGTACAACTTAGTAGTGATTTTACTAGAATTTGTATATTAACATATTATATTATGTTTTTAGGAAATAGGAGCTTTTTCATTTCTTAACGGTGAATATATAATTGATTGTAATAAAGTTGATCAACTACCCGAAATTAGTTTTGTTTTTGGAGAAAAAGAATTCAAACTTGCTGGAAACGATTACGTTTTAAAGGTAAGTTAAAACAAAAGTTAGATACTTAATAATTATATACAGAGTGGCCCAACAGTCTGGAAACGGCCAATTATCTCGTAAATTGCTAGTTATAATTGTACAAAATTTGAAGTATACCTATTTTGGAATACGGAAATTCCATATTTGATATTTGCAATATTGCCAGATTTTCCGTTTTTCTTATATTATTAGTAACTTTGGTTTTTTAAATGCATCACCCTGTATATTTAGTCATTATTGGAATCTCCTATTCAATACGAGTGTATTCATATTTGTGTGAACATGTTCACATTCATATGTAACACTTATGATTTTATGTAGTCTGAAAGGTCTTAATTACATAAAACACAAGTCTGGCAACGTCTAATTGTTTTAATAAATTTTTTAATACTAATTATTTTCAACTACATGAAAACGTAACAATTGATAGATTACAACATTGTTTAACAATAGTTATGTTATTAAGTGTTCAAAATGTGCTCAATTTATGACTTGACAGTACCCTAATCGATGGTAGAATGCGTCTTTCACATTTCTCCATGATGGTCTAGAACCAATTCGAGATTCATTGATAATTCGTTGCCTTAGCGCTGCAAGACTTGCTGGTTAAGTTTTGTAAACTGAATTTTTCAAGTATCCTAATAAAAATAATCTTTATGATTGAAATCGGGTGAACGTGAAGGCCATTCAATTCTACCTTGTCTACCAATTTATCGTCCGGGAAATATATCCTCTAAATAAGGCCGTACATTTACACCAACTATCTGACGTTAAATTTCTTTCGATAAAAAATGGCCCAATTTACTGAGTACCTACTATACCTGACGATACATTTAATTTTTGTGGTCTTTGAGTATAGTTTTCACGCATTCAGTGTGAATTTGCGTCACTCCAGTACCTTAAATTATGTCGATTTACACTTCCACACAGTGTAAAGATTGCTTCATCGGAAAACATATTCTGTTAACGAAATTTTAATAATTTTCAATTTTATCCATCATTACCTCAGTAAACTCTAATCTAAGATCGAAGTCATATTCACTTAATTCTTGCAATAAGTTTATTTTGTATGGTTTAAACTTATTTTTACATAATATACGTAAGACTGAAGAACGAACTACATCATGTACTTGTGCAACCCTGCCTGAGGATGTATGTGGATCTTCAACAAAACTTTTCTCTTTCCATCTATCTTTACCTTCTTCAGATTTCTCAAATCGCTTTACAGTTTTTTGTACCGTCGCCTTATGAATAGGAGAACGGTTTAGAGAACGGCATTTTAGAGGAGCAATTTAAATTGCAGAACTTTTCGAAACACAACTACTGTCAGTTTTCGTTTATAATGTAAATCGTGAACAAATGTCAATATCACAGCATTCTACATTTAAATATTTAAATTTATTAAAATCTACATATTTTGCACTGTTTTATGTATTTAAGACCTTCCAGACTACATACAATCATAAGTGTTACATATTTTTGAACTCGTATTGAATAGTTGAACTTATATGAAATTCACACTGAATTCGTGAAAACCATATCAGTCCACAAAAATTAAATGTATGATCAGGTATAGTAGGTACTTAGTCAATTGGGTCATTTTTTATCAAAGGAAATTTAACGTCAGATAGTTGGTGTTAATGTTCGGCGTCATTTAGATGAGATATTTTCCGTATTTATCGTACGGATTATTGGTAGACAAGGTAGAATTGAATGGCCTCCACGTTCACCCGATTTCACTCTTAAAGATTATTTTTAGTAGGGATACTTGAAAAATTCAGTTTACAAACTTAACGAGCCAAGTTTTGCAGAACAAAGGCAACGAATTATCGATTAATCTCAAATAATTTCTAGACAATCATGGACAAATGTGGTAGACGCATTCTACCATCGATTAGGGTACTGTCAACTCACAAATTGAGCACATTTTGATTACTTAATAACGTAACTATTGTTAAAAAATGGTCTAATCTATCAATTGTTACGTTTTAATGTAGTTGAAAATAATTAGTATCAAAAAATTTATTGAAACAATTAGGCGTTGGCAGACTTCTGTCTTATGTATTTAAGACCTTCCAGACTATAAAAAAATGATAAGTGTTACATATAGTTGAACTCGTATTCAATAGAAGATTCTAATAATGACTGAATATACAGGGTGATGCATTTGAAAAACCAAATATGGAATCTCCGTATCCCAAAAGAGGTGTACCTCAAATTTTGTACAATTATAACTAGCAATTTACGAGATAATTGGCCGTTTCCAGACTTTTGGGCCACTCTGTATATTAAACTATTAATTAGATATAATAGTTTTCAATGGTTTAGCCATTTTAATAGTAATGGTAATATCATCATCAATCAGCCAATCGCGTCCACTGCTGGACATAGGCCTCCCTCAGTTCTTTCCAGTGTTCTCTACACTGGGCCGCTTGTAGCCAGTTTCCCGCTACACATTTTATATCATCGGTCCATCTATTCGGTGGTCGTCCTCGGCTTCTTTTATAGTTTCTGGGCCACCATTTGTGGAAATGACCAATAGTGGAACAGAGAACAATATTTTAGAGCTTATATATAATACGATATCTCCACCTTACTTTCTAACCACTAAGATTCAAAACCATTTATAACGTCTCTGTATACATATAATATTTGCTTTCATTATCAATATAATCTTACATTAGTACCTGATGGTACTTAAACAATTGTTGCATAGAATTTAAATTATTAATATTACGAAATGTTTTTGTATATTTAATCAATATAATTCTAAGCTTTTCAATGTAATCACGATTGCATTTTTCTTATTAAGGTACACCGGGGTAAGAGAAACCTAAAAAATCATTAATTTCTGTTTAAGGCCTTCTAAAAAATTTATTTATGTATGCACTCTATTAGGTTACCGACAGGTAAGAGTTACACCATTTTCTAATACGAATGCGGTGTTAAAACATAAAAAAACTTTAAAGAACTTTTTTCTAACAAAAACTTTCAATCATGTGACATGGTTTCCACTTACCCCACATTTTCTACATGGCAAGGGGCAAGTGGAAACCTATCCGAATTTATATATTGAATTCAATGCAAATCATTCTGGGGCAAGTAGAAATAATAAAAAACCATTTCTGAATACATTTGTAATAAAAGTTTAAAAAAATATGGTTATTAGCGAACATTATAGTTGTTTAGAGAAATAGGAAACGAAATTAAAGCTTATTGCCTTTTTGTAAGCTGGGAAAAACTTAATGGTTTTGGCAATACTAATTCAATTTGGAACTTAAATTCGACTGATATGTCTGGTAGGTTAGGAAAATAATATTTTCCGTCATTTTGTATGCATTTTCGAAGGCAACTAACTTTAACTTCAGTATCAAAACACTGCAAAATTTTAGCGACATAATAAATATAATTTGAGCCTCCTTTAACTGGAAATTTCATTAATACGAAATCATCGGGCATAGCCGCACGATGTAACTCTTCTTCGATGGGAGGGGTTGGAACCCTTAATATATCAATATCGTCGTCGGAATCTGATCTCATCTCAATGAAAGCTTGGTCATCATCACTGCTGTCAGATTGTGTTTCCTTCTTCTTTATCCTTTTCCTTTCCGTTTTATTGGATTTTACGGTCTTTTTGTCTTGTTGTATCTTCATTTTTGCTAAATAGTCAGTGTGTGTTATGATCTCAGCGCCAGAACAGATTTTCTTACGCTTTTGCTGGTTTGATGGGGATTGTTTGACATGTTCGAGTAAAATAGATTCGAAGAAATTTCTTTCAGGAAGCCTTTTTAATGCATGATTCTGATTATCATTTTGAAGATACTGTTTGTATTGTAACACAGTACTTCTGACCAAGTGTGTTGCTTGACTGCCACTGGTATTTTCCGACATTTCTTCTTGTTGAGGGGTATCACCAGGGTCATTCCTATTTCTCACTAATGATGCCTTCTTAGAGTTATGATATTGAAATCTTTTGAAAGCCTCAGGTTCAAATTTTTCAACAGGAATCACTGCATTACAGAATGGGTAAATACCGGCCTTACTAAAACCACTTCTAATATGGTTTGAACCTAGCTCCTTCCATACTTGTGAAATTATAGATGAAAATATGGATTGCAGTAACTTTGTACCGTAATTTCTTCTTTGCCATTTTATAAGAGCTTCATCGTACATTTGTTTTAAAGGCTTGAACACAGCCAAATCCATTATCTGTAGGAGATGGCTAGTATGTGGCGGTAGTTTTAAAATAATTATGTCTTTCCTTAAAGCAGTTTCTATAAGGACAATTGATGTGTGTGAAGAGTGACCGTCATAGATCAGAACAACGGGTCTCTCTTTAGGAATATTCGGAAGGAACGTATGTTCAATATAATTAGAAAATGTTTCCGTTTCCATCCATCCGTTTATTGTTGCTCCGTATGTAATTCCTGGATACTCGTCATTTTTTTTTTTTTGCTAGCCATGTATCCCAAAGATTTTTTCCTTTGAAAATAATAAGGGGTGGTAATTTTTCTCCTGTAGCATTGCCACCCATTAAGACAGAAAAGTTTTCTTTACCAGGACCAGCTGTAACTCGATGAGCGGCTTTTCCTTTTTCACCTACTACTTTTACACGACTAGGATCTAGACAGAAACTGGATTCATCTAGATTATAAATCCTCTCAGGAGGTATATTAGAAGTGATTTCTTTCACCAAGTCAAAGTACTCTGCAATTACAAATGGATCTATACCTTTTTTACGGGCCACTTCAACTAATTGTGGCTTCTTTTGAGAAAGTCCATATCGGCGCTTGAAACTTAAAAAATAATCATCTCCCGGTATTGAATCTTTAAATGGAGTTTTTATGTTATTTTCTGACACATATTGTCCAATAGCTAACAAAATTTCTTTTTTTGAAAGACCAAAACCCCATTTTTCCATGGTCTTAATATAGTCAGCAATTTTGGTCTCAATATCTAAAGGTAAAGCTGTTGGCCTACCCATAGTGGTACTTTTTTCACCCCTTAATCCCTTGACTCTTTTAAATAATGTTGCTTTTGGAATGAAGTAATGTTTTAATGCTCTGTAGAGTGTCATTTGCTTAAATTTTACAGCTTCTACTGCTTCTCTTAAGGTTTCTTGACAATATGTTGGCGGTGGTTTCTTTTTGACATAATTACGAGCCATTGTTACTGCAAAGAAAAAAAAATAAGTTCGATTAAACTGTTTTAAATAAATGCATTGGGGAAAGTGGACACTTTCCCCAATGTTGTGGAACCTATCTATTTTTACAAAAATTATCTACACAAGTTAGTTTTAACCTACATATAAATAAAATAAAATATAATTTTATTCCTTACCTAATGAAAATCGCTGTTAATTCGAATTCCTTGAATCAAAACCGTTGGCTTAAAGATAACAATTACAATTCGATGGTTAAATCGATACCGGCTTGGTAGATAAACACTTGAATAGTTTTGCTTAACGACAGAATTATGACTGACTCTGAGCGTCAGTGGTAGGTAATATTAACCTAGTGTAGATCGTTTTTAGGGAGATGGCAGTCACAGGACTGGATTATGATTTTTTTAATCACATGGTTTCCACTTCCCCATATTTCCACTTGCCCTGGGGTACCTTATACTTATAATATACTTATATATATTAACATAATATGTTGACGCCTATGAAAGATCTAGCAGTTTCATATGTGTGTCATATTTTTAGCAGTATTAGGGAAATTTTAAGTCTAAGTTTAATGTTATGAAAATTTTATATACAAGTGACGTCACTTTGGATAAATCGTGACGTGTAACGTTTTTACTGTGACAAATACTATACGTTACTTTTTTTAATGCCGACTTGTATCTAATTTTAACTGATATTTTTCGCCCAGAAACAAGCTTTTCTATTGACTTGTCATAGATTGTTTAAATTTGACGAAATCTTTGCCTAAGCTAAGATAGCCTTGATTGATTGGGTTATATAATAAATGATGTTCGTTGAAGATTTGTTTAATCTTTTTGCGACAATTCTCCTGCATGTTTTATTTAAGATACTATCAACTTATTTTACGTATGCCTATCGATTCCAGAATAAGCAGGCCTACTCATTTGGCAAATTTCTGTTTTTCTGACAAACGAGTGATTGTCTTCTATTATGACACTGGTATTTATTTGTTAAAGAAGTATACGAAATTACTTTGAAGTATGTAGATTTGAAAATATATGTATTACATTTTTGAGATATATTCTTTATTCTCATTCATTTATTATTCTATTCAAAGAATGTTTAGGATAGGTAATTCCACCATAAGCAAGTAGTAATTATTAGTTATTGCAATTCTAGAAACCTATTACGTAGGATCTATTTTATTTATTAGTAATTATTTATGTTCGGATTTTTTGACGGCTGTATCTCAGTAACTGCGGTACTGGCCTACCAAGCCGGATATTTTGAGTCAATTGTGATATTTACTTCACATTCGTAGATGTACTTTGTATTTAATACTACAGCACATAAAGCAGTGCTCACTTAAGCTTGACTCAAACTATGATCCTAGTAAACTTCAGACAAGCCGCTATTTTACCTACCAAACTTTTTTTAAATTTTATTAATAATTAAATATTATTTTATTTTGTAGCAATCTAATGGTCTTATTGATATCTGTATTTCTGGATTCATGGGATTAGACCTCGACACTAGAACTCATGTGGAATGGATCCTAGGAGATGTTTTCATTGGAAAATTCTACACAGAATTTGATTTTGGTAATAATCGTGTAGGATTAGCTGAAGCAGTTTAAATATACCTAATAAAAAGTCATATCGAATGCTATACTTACTGTGTTTTCTTTATCCTAGCTAAAGTAACTAGATTTAATTAAATACTAAACAAAGCCACAAGCCTTTAAAGGTAGCATCTTCATATGGTTCAGTTGCATTAAGGCTGAACCTAGGATCTGCCACCTCTGATAATGTGCTAATTTTATAAGTTCATATATGTTGTTAGTTACTTAATTGTTTATACAAAATCAGCGTATTATGTCCATTTACTTAGTTTCATTCACATTATTGTTAATAAAATTGACTGCTACATGTCTTTTTAAGGTAACATCGTTTCCATGATTGTGTGGTTCTCATATTGTAATTTTTTAGAGGAACTGATGATGCTTTCAAAACTCGAAAGCGAAACGTCTTCAAAATAGATAAAGTAGCCTTTATCTTATATATATATATATATATATATATATATATATATATATATATATATATATATATTGTTTAACTGTTGATCGACCCCTGTATAACAGTTGTCGCACACATCGTGGAACCGGTGACCCCTCTCCCCCCGGGCAGCCGCCAGTGTTTGGCCTACGGCGTTGACCTTCGACCGACAACTAGTTTTCAGCATTCGAGATCCATTCACTTTGAAATAAAGACTTGTATTCATTTTCAGTGCATATTGTAAATTCAGTTTTTATACTTTATAACGTTTTTATCTTTTCAATTAAAGTTTTGGAATAACAATTATATGTATAAAAATTCATACATAATAGTTTGGTCCTTCATAGAGCGGATGATAACTAGTGCAATTATAAGTTATCGTGTAAATTGGAAACCGAAAAAGTTCTACCGCATGCAGACAATTCCATGCCGGCATTTTTCGACGATTAGATGCAGATCAACCGAACAAGAGTCAAAGGTCAGTAATTAGCGTTTCATTTACCTACTCCTATGATTTTATCCTTGTTTCGACTTGATTTTATTATTTAATTCATTCTTAAAAGACTCGAATCAATTTTATACAATAAAATAAACATATTTTTGCTGAATTTACGTTACATTCATTGAATTATTTATGCACATATTTAATACTTATTAGCTACATATTGCATCATATCTTACATTTTAACCATTTCGTTATATTTGTTACAATATAACACTAGCATTTGAACTATTTTTAAACCTTATTTCTTTCATTTCCACATTCTAGCTGTTTTTCTATTGTACATTTCACTGATATTAAGGTAGATTTACAATTTAACAAAATAGAACACTATTAATCATTCAAAATGCCAAACGAGGTGCTTGCTTCTGAACTTAAAAAGCTTCATATCTCTCGTGGAAATTATAAATCTCAGATAACAAAATTTAAAAATTACTTAGATAAAGAAAAATCAAAAAATAATCCTGACTTTACTCAACTTGCAGTTAGATTATCAAAAATTGAACCTTTATTTCAAGCCTTTGATGATATTCAAACTCAAATAGAATGTTTAGAAGACAGTGATGATATAGTAAATCAAAACGAACGTTTAGAGTTCGAAGACAGTTATTATAGTGTCGTTTCTATAGGTCAAGCAATTTTAAATAGCTCTGGCGATCAAAATGTAGATAATACATCAATCTCTAGCAATTCTAATATTTCAAATGCAGCAACACAACACGTTAAGTTACCTTCTATATCTTTACCATCTTTCGATGGAAAATTCGATCAGTTTTTATTCTTTAAAGACACTTTTCAATCGTTAATTCATAATAACAAATCTATACCTGATATTAATAAATTCCATTACTTGCGCTTATCGTTAAAGGCTCAAGCAGCGGATTTATTAAAATCGCTTGAAGTCTCAGCAAACAATTATATTGTAGCATGGAATCTACTTATTCAACGTTATGAAAATAAACCTTTATTGAAGAAAAATCATATAAAGGCTTTATTTGAGACAAAACCTGCTACAAAAGAATGCCATCTAGAATTAAGAAACATTCTAGATGACATGAATCGGCATTTAAGAGCCTTACAAGTTCTAGGAGAACCTGTAGATTCTTGGGATGCATTAATAATTCATTTATTTTCCACAAAACTGGATTCAATAACTCGTCGTGAATGGGAGTGTGAATATGCCAAACATGACACAGTAACGCGAGAAATATTTTGCAATTTTCTGTCCGAAAAATGCAGAATTCTTGAAACTTTAAATATTCAAGGCAATAAGGTAAAACAAAATGTAAGAAGCTTATTTTCAAGTAATTATCCAACTTGTTATTTTTGCAATAAAGATCATACTATTTATAACTGCAAATCCTTTATCGCGCTAAGTCCAAATTCTAGGCTAGCTGAAGTCAAAAAATTGAAACTTTGTATCAATTGTTTGCGAAATAATCATTCAACTAACCAGTGTCGTTCTATGCACTGCAGAAAATGCAACAATAAACATAATACTTTGTTACACTTTGGTTTCAATAATCAACATAACCATCATAATTCTAAGTCGAATAATCATAATTCATCTAGTAGAAATGCATCGCAAGACAATCCTAATTTCAATCCTAATGCTAACAATTCTACTGAAACTTCCGATTCTCCTGAAATTAGCGCAAATTGTTTAATTGCAGGTAATGATTCTCCAAGCATTGTCTTATTGTCAACTGCCCTGGTAGACATATTTGATAATCGTGGAAATGTATTTTCTTGTCGTATATTGCTTGATAGCGGTAGTGAGTCAAGTTTTATCTCTGAGGAAATGTGTAAAAAATTAAATATAAGTACAACTCCAATACAATGTTCTATTACAGGAGTTGGACAAAAAACCACAAACATTTTAAAACAAACCGTTGTATCTGTTCAAGCACGTCAAGTCCCATTCAAAACAAGTTTTAAATGTTTAGTTATTCCTAAAATTACAAGCAGAATACCCTCAAACTTTATTAACACGTCAAGCTTAAATATCCCTCATAATCTGATACTAGCAGACCCAACATTCAATGAACCTGGTCCAATCGACATTTTGATTGGTGCTGATCACTTCTGGGATCTGCTCATGGTAGGGCAAGTAAAGCTTGGCAAGCATTTGCCTACATTGCAAAAAACTCAATTTGGTTGGATTGTCTCGGGCACTATACATTCACCCCAATTCATACAACCTCCTAACATTTCTATATCATGCAATCTGAGTACTTCTGATCAGGCTATTCATTCACAAATAGCTAAATTCTGGAAAATTGAAGAAATCAATGTTCCTAAATCCTCATCTTCAGATGACATTCTCTGTGAAGAACTATTCAAAACTACTACTATTAGAAACTCGTTGGGTCAATTTATCGTCCAACTACCGTTTCAGAAACCGGCTTGCTCTCTTGGCGATTCAAAAGAAGTAGCAACCAAATACTTATTCAATTTAGAAAAGCGATTACAAAGAAATCCTGAACTAAAGGCAAATTATACAGATTTCTTAAGCGAATACGAAGCTCTTGGTCACATGACCAAAATAAATGACTCTGAATTATCAGACAAACCTTGCTATTATTTGCCCCACCACGGTGTGGTAAAGGAGTCTAGCACTACCACCAAGTTAAGAGTGGTTTTCAATGGATCAGCTATAACAACTAGTGGCTTATCGCTTAATGACATTTTAGTAGCTGGTCCAACTATTCAAGATGATCTATTTTCCATAGTTTTGCGAGCAAGAAAACATAATATTATGCTGACTGGAGACATAACTAAAATGTACCGGCAAGTACTGGTAGATTCATCACAACGCTCGCTACAACTTATTCTTTGGAGACCTAATCCTGATTCAGAAATACATACGTATCAATTAAATACGCTTACATACGGTACAGCACCGGCAGCCTTTCTGTCTACAAGATGTTTAAAGGAACTGTCAATACAATGTAAAGATACACATCCAGACATTAGCAGAATAATCGCAAGGGACTTTTACGTTGATGATCTTTGCACAGGGTGTTCATCCATTGATGAAGCAATATACCTTAAACAAAACCTGTCTGAAATTCTCATTTCTGGTGGCTTTCCACTCCGTAAATTCATGTGCAATGCACCGGAAGTACTTTGTGAGCAATCTGAAGGGGATAATACTATATTAAATTTCGGTGAGGATTGCAATAACAAAACTTTAGGTCTTCTTTGGAACTCTCAATCCGACACACTACAATTTTCAATAAAGGCTACTTATAATTCCTGCCCAACTAAACGAAAAATCCTATCTTGTGTCTCTCAAATATTCGACCCATTAGGATTAGTTCAACCTGTAATAATCATAGCAAAATGCATTATTCAAAAATTGTGGCAGCACAAACTTGATTGGGATGAATCAATCCCACAAGACCTTTATACTAGCTGGATTAAATTCCATAATCAACTTCAAGATTTAAATGCATTAAAAATTCCTAGACATGTTCTACCTAACAATCCAGTGCTATTAGAAATCCACGGCTTCTCTGACGCCAGTGAAATGGCATACGGTGCCTGTTTATACATTCGATCCTTAGATTCAGAGGGTACTTATCATTGTCACTTACTTTGCTCTAAAACAAGAGTGACTCCCCTCAAAACAATTACGATTCCTAGGCTCGAATTGTGCGCCGCATTGTTGCTGGCAGAGTTGGCTCATAAGGTCATAATCTCGTTAGATCTTCCTATTACTCATATCTTCTACTGGTGTGACTCAACCATAGTTTTATCATTTATCAAATCTGTTTTTACCCAGTGGAAAATTTTTGTCGCTAATAGAGTGACACAAATACAATCATTAACAAATTCGGATTCTTGGAGATATATCAATACTCAAGAAAACCCAGCTGATTTGCTCTCTCGGGGTCTTAGCCCTACGTCTTTAATTGATAATTCTCTATGGTGGAATGGCCCTAAATGGTTGCTGTATCCTAAAGAACAATGGCCCACTAGTGCTTCAAGTACTATAGTCAATTCTGATGCACCTGAGAGACGCAAGGAAAAATTAATTTCTTTTCAGTCTACAGTTACTGAAGGACTGGATCTTATTAACAGATTTTCTAATCTTAACAAGCTT